TCTGGAGGTAAGCTCTGCACTTGCACACTGCCGAAGTGCCTGGAGTACAGACGGTACTCAAAACCGACTGAGAAAAATAAAAAATAAGTGAGTAAGTGACCTGTAGCTCTCCAAATTGGTGTTTGAGTGTATTAGGGAATTTTAAAGACTACTTTGGCAAGCATTTCCTTACTATTTCCTGCAGTCTGGGATTCACACAGATGACAAAATTAGCTCTTAATAAGGGTATTGTTCCCATGGGGTGCAGGATAAATTGTTCCCATCGGGTCAAAATGCAGCACAAACACCAACATGACTGCCATGTCGGGGCAGATGGAGAAAATGGGGCCTCAACAAGAATAGGTATCGCATGAGGCTTGGAGGGAAATGGAATGCTAACTCATTTAAAATGCCTGTGATGTAAATAAATATTTAAATAGCTTGGATGTAAATGGACAAGTCAAATTAGGCTAGGGGCCAGTGAGCACTTACAGGAATTTTCTAAGAAACTGGTGATCCTGTCCTGAGTTCACAAAGTTTCTAAACTGCTGTTGTCTGACCTAATCATATGTTCCAAGTCATGTGCCTGCTGAGATCAGTCTCTAGAGGGCCTGACAGAAAATGTCAGGGTGATAGGGTGTGCTATCTCTTTTGACCATCAGCGAATCCTTCATGAAAGACACACAGTTTACTCTAAGACAGCATGGTTACAAAGACAGAGGGAAGACAAGAGTTCTCCCCCAAAATGCCTGTGGTCAACAACCCAAGAAGGCAGAGAGTCAGAAAAGCACATCCATTGCTGGGTTAGAAAAGTCAAATTTAGCAGCAAGTGAAGCAGGAAAATTAAAAGTCTAACATTAGATCAAAGTGGGACATAGGGGAGCCATGGGAACCAGACCTCTCCTGGTCACCCCTTGCTGTACAGGGAGGTTTCAGATGACAGCTACCCCTTCTATGAGGAGACATCCTCTGGAATGCAACCTGGAGACAAGAAACCTTTCCAAATTTCTCTTGTTCTCCTAGAGCAGGGCACTCCCCAAGTTGCTGAGGTGATGACTATAAAATATTTTAAAACATTTATAAAGGGCTTACCCCATAATTAACATACAGATGAAAAAACTGAGGCAAATGGAAAGAAGTGAACGGCTCAAGGCCTTGCAGCTAATAAATGGTGGAGTGGAGGTGCAAATCTGGGCAGAATGGCTTTAGAGTTCATGTCCTTGACCACTGCACTATCCTGTGTCTCCGTTTAGACTGTAGAGAAAGTGTAGTTCAGAATCCTCCACTGTACAAAGAAAACAATATAGCCCCCACACAGATCACACACAGTGAGTAACAGATCCAGGAAGAGAACCCAAGGAGGGTGTGGGTGCAGGCGGAAAGAGATTTGTGACAGAAAAAAAGACATGCTCCCCAAGGTCAACAAAACACTCCAAAATTTTATCCCTTCACATCAGAATGAGAAGTTCAAATATGAAAAAAGTGGCAGAGGAAATACTATTATTTTCTCCAAATAATAGTATTTCCTCTAAATAATGGTATTTCCTCTGGCACTACTAGTACTGGAAATACTATTTTGAATATATAAGCAATTTACCTGTTTTGAATGAGAAGTATGTGTTTTTCCACTAAGAAAATTACACAAAAATTCTGGAATTTTTTTTACATTAGTAAACAGGTTCAGTAAAAGATACTCAGTTGACCACTCTCTTGACCTGAAAGTATAAACACTAATTATGTGTTTTATAGCATGTGCATCCTTTGTAGAAGCAAAGTGCTCTTTAATCATCAAGTTTCTCCTCCTGAAAAGGTTACATTAAAATATCATAGCATTTACCAAAAAACAACAAAAAAAAAGAATACAGTGTTATACATTAGAAGTACGCTATATTCTACATCAGGGAAAGGTATTAATATATTAGGTATTATCAATCAGACAGCAAATTTACTGACATGACCATCTATATAGCTCCCCAACTCTTGTAATAAAAGCCTGGTGAAACCCTACTCATCACATAAAGGTCTGGGAGACACCAGGGGGAACTCACCCTGTTAGGAGATATTTACACCTGTAATTAAACTGAAATCGAACTCTGCTTTCCACTACATTTCACTTACTCTGAGATAGTAAGAAGAAATCGCTCTAAACTGAAAAATGCGACACCTTTCTGTACATTTTAAGCAATAAAGCTTCTGAAGTGTTGTTCTAAGAGAATAAATTAAATTTCCCTAAATAGGCCCAAAGCAAAACCTCTGTAATAGGAAACAGGATTAGAAAATTATTACAATTATGCATGAGCACTGTTAATTCAACTTTTCTGATGTTATACCTCTTAAATACACACAAATAAAACCAAAGTTTTATGACTAAATACTTCCTCTCGTACAAGCAATGCACTCTGATAATTTTCCATTTTTTTCTTTGAAAAAAAAAAATTCCTAATTGACAGCAATCTACCTCGTTGGTTACTCGTTCCATCAGTGTTCCCTTAATACACCATTTTTTTTTTTAAGATTTTATTTATTTATTTGACACAGACAGAGATCACAAGTAGGCAGAGAGGCAGGCAGAGAGAGAGGGAGGCAGAAGCAGGCTCCCTGCTGAGCAGAGAGCCCGATGTGGGGCTTGATCCCAGGGCCCTGAGATCATGACCTGGGCTGAAGGCAGAGGCTTAACCCACTGAGCCACCCAGGTGCTCTGTTTTTTTTTTTTACAGATTTTATTTATTTATTTGACAGACAGCGATCACAAGTAGGCAGAGAGGCAGACAAAGAGAGAGAGGGAAGCAGGGTCCCCACTGAGCAGAGAGCCCAATGCGGAGCTCGATCCTAGGACCCTGGGATCATGACCCGAGCCAAAGGTAGAGGCTTTAACCCACTGAGCCACCCAGGCACCCAATACAGCATGGTTTGAAAAATAGTTTGGTTTATACTGACGTCTTATCAAGACTTGCAGGCATTTTCCCCAGAAGAGAACACTCACAATAACAAACTTGAAATGCTCACAAGTTTCTGTGAGAAATCTACTAAGGAACTGCTTGGCATGTCAGTGTGGTCGGTACAGACAAGAGAAAGATGTGTGTATTGACCCGGCCTCTGACGAGCTCACCATCATGAGGGCTGTGGCTGCTGCTCATCATTTCTGCCACATGAGGGGTAATAAAAGGGGCCAGACACACACCTCTTGCTTTGAAGAAATCCCCTGGGTGTGTCCGTAGTTTGGACACTGAAGGCAAATCTCTGTGCACTCTCCAGAGGAAAATGGGAATCCACAACTCTTCAGACAGGTGCGAGAAAAACCTTCTCTCAAAGAGACCAGGCGGGTAAAAGCTGACTGTGGCTGGCACTGTCCTGTACAAAGATACAGGCCCCAGCCAACCTCCCTCCAATTCCTTCTCACACTTCTCTACCTTGGCTTATCACCGGAAAGAAAAAGTGAGCTCAGAAAATAAGGTAATGTGTTTAAGAAAGACATAAGAATTAATAACTATTATTATTACTGGCAAGCAAAAGAAACATTACCCCCCATCCTTGGCCAAATTCTCAAATAAATTCCAACATAGAAAATCAAGGTGCTGCTACACTGGGGGAGCAGTGGTGCTGACAGCACTCCCACACTCCTCTATCTCACCCACTAGGTCATGACTCTTCACTGGACTCTTCACCAGAGCCTCCCTAGAGAAGCAGCCACACAGTCATAACTAAGCACTGGTAATGATCTCGACCACAGGCAACCGTTGTCTCACGGCCATGACTGCTCTCTCTCCAGTCCGTGTTTGCTCTCATCCCTCCCTACTCTAACACAGAATGCCCTAAAACTGCAGCAGGTGACCTGACGTCAAGAACCCACGTGAAGCAACACTTCTCAAACTGTCACTCTATAGCTGCCTCCCTCCCCTCTACCACACAGATGGACTGTTGGAAGTAAAAGACCATGAGCCCGACCCACTGGGTCCTCACTCCTCACTGTCTCCCGCTCCTCTTGTTATAGAACACTCTGACTGAGCTAACCAGCAAAACTCCTCTGACAGCCACTCCAACAGAAAGTAAGATTTTAAGGAACTGATCAAACTATTAAAAGTTTTATGTTACTATAAAAGTACAAAACCGTGTTCTGATACAGCCAAAGCTGAATTATTTCTTAATAATATTTCTTCCTTTCTAGTGAGAAATCCTGGAATTGCTCAGATGTACCAACTGCAGCAATGCAGAGGGAAAAGAGTGGCCTTCCTGCCCTATCTGACTGGTCCTGCCAGACTGAGACACAACCATGGGAATAGTGTGCTTGGATCCAGTGCTGCTGTGGCTATGCCGACCCTAGGATGTGAGGTTTTCTGTGGCAAAGATGCAGTGAATCGTCTTTTTCTTTGAAGAGACTGTCATTTGTGTTTTTAAATAGGAGGGCTTTCTGAGAAATTGAAACCTTAAAAAGGGCTGAAATTAAATAATCTGTCATGCTGAATGGAAAATATACTGCTCCTAGTACAATAAAACTGATGAGAACTAAAGGAGTAGGTAGAGATTAATTCCTTGGAAAAACTGACCTGGCTGGCACACAAGTGGAAATATGGTAAGTTTAACACACAGCAAAGTTAAGAAACACTGGATCTTACTTACACTAAAAATACAAGTTTTAAAGCCTCTTCCTGGATAGGAATTCCTACTCCCAATATATTTAATTACATATGATCATATTATTTCCAATATTTTATTTTTTTTTGAATTTTTTAAAAAGATTTTATTTATTTAACAGAGACAGAGATCACAAGTGGGCCGAGAGGCAGGCAGAGAGAAGAAGCAGGCTCCCTGCTGAGCAGAGAGCCCGATGCAGGGCTCAATCCCAGGACCCTGAAATCATGACCACAGCCGAAGGCAGAGGCTTTAACCCATGAGCCACCCAGGTGCCCCTATTTCCAATATTTTAAAAACTCAACTCAAGCTATTGACAATTTATTTTCATATAATTAATATGTTAACATAACTTTCAAAATAATGTCTGGTAATAGGAAAAAAAATAGTACCTTTTCCAATTCTCTTGGTATTCGCATACAAGTGTATACTCTTTCTCTTCTTTCTGTATACTTGGCCTCATTATGTTCAAGGAAGTACCCTCTGGTTAGTTCAGCACTGAGGAACCTCAACAATGAAAGCTCTACAGGAAAAGAAAATGACACAAAACAAAAAGAACAATATTTATCAAGAAACTTACATGCTAGCTGGGGCTGTAGATAACACATATATAAAACAAAAAGAGAATAAAACAAAGCAATCTATAATTCTGTGCCGAGAACTAAACAGCTACATACAAATGATCAGCAAATGTTATTGACAAAATTGCTACTCTGTGTGGTATAAAGGGAAAATGACACAGGGATATAAAAGGAATGATTACCTTGAGCCAGAATAGTTACAAAACTGTGCAAGAGCCCAGTCCTGAGTCTTATAGGTGATATAGGACCTGGACTGGTAGATATAAGAGGGAATAAAGATCAGGTATATATAAAATGGATAAATGTATATGTCTGTACCTATATATATGATTCTACATATGCTAAAAGAGAGACAAGTCACCTAAACAGGCATGGCTCAGGTCCAAAAACCAACCTGGGTGAACTATACTGATAAACGTCTTTCTTCAGCCTCAGAGATCCTGCATAAGTATCTAAATAATGACAGTTCCCTAGGTGAAGGCTTACCAACAGGATAATCATCATACTAAATCATACAAAGTAGAACCTCAACAAGATCTGAAAGACTTTCCTTTCCTTGGATTTGTCCCCCTCTTTTCTCTGTTCCTCCAAAACAAATTCACCCAGAATCATCTTGTCTCAAATGAAAATAAGGCCAAAGGAGGTTGAGTACTTTCCCCTTGGCTATAACTGGAGTCTTAGGGATAAGAAGCTAAAGTTCCAACCCCTTCCAAAATGTCACACTTCCCTGAGAGCCCATCACCTAACTGACTTTTCTGGACCCCTGATTCCCATTACCTTCCTATTTTTACTCCCCAAGAGGTCAAGCCCTCTTCCAGAAGTCAGGATACCAAAGGTCTCAATTTGTCCTCTGCTCTGAGCTGGCCCTTGTAGTCCTTTTACTAAATACAGTGTTGGTGTTCCCTCCAAAAAATGACCAAGAGGGAAAGTGGACTTCATTTATGAGTACTGACTCATGGAGGGCATCTTATGTGAGCGCCAGGATTTAAAGTCTGCAGGTATGGGGAAGAGTCTAGTGTCAGAAACACCCTTGAAAAGCCCTCAGGGAGACCTGGAAGGAGACTTACTACCTCCCGGTGGGCCTAAAACAGCTTACTTCCTCCAGCACTGAACAGATGGCTAGTTCTCTGAGCATCAGGCCAAATGGTCTACTCATGTAGAGAGGTTATATTACACAAAAAAATACACACATGCGTGCATACATTTCTTTAAATTCCAGATTTGTCATCTCTCTGGAGAGTTAGTGATACCATGAGAGTTATCTAGGGATTAAAACAGACGGAGAGAAAACCAGACTTCCACCCACTCCAGCCTCATGCTGGGCAGGCCAAATTATCAAATGCACTGAAAGCATCATGCTCTCGGTGCATTTATAGTTGAAGCCATGGACACCAGAGGTAAACTGTATTGTTTACATATTAATAGATATTCCGATTAGAAGCCCACAGTATCACCAAATCCATACAGAGTACAATTTTTGACTGGGAAATTTCTAATATATTATAGGCTGGTTAGATCCAGAACATGATCTGCTGTATGAAGGGGAGAAAAAGAAAGCCTTCTGAGCTGTAAACAAGAAGAGCCAAACCAATGAAAGACAAAAATCATACTCCTGGGGCACCTGGGTGGCTCAGTTGGTTAAGTGTCTGACGTCGGGTCAGGTCATGATCTCGGGATCCTGGGATGGAGCTCCACACAGAACTCCCTGCTCAGCGTGGAGTCCACTTGTCCCTCTTCCTCCCCCTCTGCCCATGTCCCTGCTTGTGTTCTCTCTTTTGCAAATAAATAAAACTTTTTAGTGATCCGAAGGGGCACGTGCACCCGAATGTTTATAGCAGCAATGTCTACAATAGCCAAACTATGGAAAGAACCTAGATGTCCATCAACAGACGAATGGATAAAGAAGATGTGGTATATATACACAATGGAATACTATGCAGCCATCAAAAGAAATGAAATCTTGCCATTTGTGACGACGTGGATGGAACTAGAGGGTATCATGCTTAGCGAAATAAGTCAATCGGAGAAAGACAACTATCATATGATCTCCCTGATATGAGGGAGAGGAGATGCAACATGGGGGTTAAGGGGATAGGAGAAGAGTAAATGAAGCAAGATGGGATTGGGAGGGAGATAAACCATAAGTGACTCTTAATCTCACAAAACAAACTGAGGGTTGCTGGGGGGAGGGGGGTTGGGGGGGTGGGGTTATTATGGACATTGGGGAGGGTATGTGCTGTGGTGAGTGCAGTGAAGTGTGTAAACCTGGCGATTCACAGACCTGTACCCCTGGGGAAAAAAATATATGTTTATAAAATTTCACCAGAACACTTTGCAAGTATGTGCACAGAACACGGACATTGTATTTTATATTAATTTCAATTATTATCAGGCATTATGAATTTAGAAAATAAAAAGACCTAGTTAAGCTTTCAAAAAAAATGTATATATATATACACACACACTCTTACTCAGTTTAGTCTTCTAATTAGAAAGCAAAGGGTGTGTGTGTGTGTGTGTGTGTGTGTGTGTGTGTGTAATATTTTGTTTATTTACATGAGCCAGAGCATGAGTGCGTGAGCACAAAGGCAAAGGGAGAAGCAGACTCCCCGCTGAGCAGGGAGCCCAGTATGGGGCTCTATCCCAGGACCCTGGGATCATGACCAGAGTCAAAGGCAGAAGCTTAACTGAGCCACATAGGTACCCCAGAAAGCAAAGGAAGTTCTGATTAGCTGATATATATATCAATATATATATATATCATAAATATCAATCCTTTCATGTAAAACTTTTCTTACTTACATGCTCACACTACTTTTCACTGACTGACTTACACTACTTCTCACCGACACCAGCGAGCCCCAAAGGTCACTTCACCATGATTCCTGTTCCACCCTCCATCACAGGCGCTCCTCTAACTGTCCGACTTTTCAGACCTGGATGTCTTTGGCAGCTCCTCCACCTCCACTGGACCTGTAAGTGTTTGCCGGTTTGATGTTCCAGTCACTGTGTCCTAACAAAGCACCAGTTACGGTGAAACGCCATCCCTGAAAGCTGTTATTTGCTGGTGTGTCCTCTTCTCTTTTTCCTATTCTCCTTGGACTGTCTAAGGTTAAAGCCATCATCTGAACCGTGAAGTTACCATATCTGATCCTGGGAACCTGGACCCATATTTCCAACTGCCTCCTGGGCAACTCCACCTGGCCCCCTACCCCTACCTTGAATTAGCAAACGGAGCTCAGGATATTCACCCACAATCTACCCTCTGCAGCCCTGACTTTAGCTTGTGCTCCACCAGTGACACAGCTCTATGTTAGAAGCTTGGGGCTACCCTCCTCCTCTCACGAAGCCCCACTGACTTGTCTGCGACATTTATTCACTTACCCCCTCTCTGTATGTCACCCTAGTTTGGTCCTTCTCATCCCCCTCTAGTTCCCACTTAAGCTTCCTGACTCATGCCCTTTTTTCCAGTCTTTCCTCCCTCAGTCCTAACCCTGCCAGGCAGCCAGAACCAACATGCTCACAGACCAGCTGCGGGTCCCCTTCAATGCTCTCTGTCACCTGCAGGCCAGGCCCTACACATTCCTGGTGGTGACACCAGATCCCTTACAACTTGGCCCCTGGCTATGTTTTCAGCCATGCCTCACACCTGCCTCTGCTGACTCTTTAGGTCACAATTCTCTAGTTACACTACTTTACATTTCTTGCAAACAGGACAGTTGGGTGAATGGTTCATTGGCCCCAAAATTTCCTTCCAGTTTCCCTTAGGAGACCACACACAGGTGCCTGCTCTGTGAAGCTATCCCAAGGTCTTCGGGACAGAATGCAGACTCTCCCCACTCGGTTGGCATAGTGTCTACCTATTCTGGCACTTCTACCCACCACACTTTTTTGGGCCTGGTTTTGTCCTTTACTTTGCATCCTCAGGGTACAGCACGTCATACGTGTTCAACAAACGCTTGCTAAAAGACTATATGGATCAGAGAAGGAGGAAAAAGTCACAGAGAGGAGAGCAGCAGAGAGAACAAAAACAGGATCAGAAATCAGAAGTGGCAAAAGCAGAGAGAACATCAGATTCTTGAGAAAACAGCCTGTGACTGAGACTGGGAGTGAGTAGCAAAAGAGTGACAGACTATGGCGCCTCAATGGACAGAGCTCCCCCTGAAGATAAGGAGCCTCTAGGCTATGTGTATGTCTAAGTGACTGTAAAGGGTCACGCAACAGATATCCGAATGTCCACACTAAAAGCACAGGGTGGGGGGGTGCCATGCTGACAGGCATATCCAGTGAGTGCCCTGGGGTATGGGACAAGGATGCTGGCGTTATCCACAGTAAGGGCAGGGAGGGAAGCTGGGCAGCCTGCTAGTATGTCAACTGTGTTAAGGAAATACAGAAACAGGTTTTTATAGAATTTTAAATTTAAGGCAGCAAATTAAATCAAAAGATTGAGACAGCTATACCCTGTTTACTTAGAAATTATCCTTCACAGTGGTATCTTCCCTGATGACGCAGTTGACTGAGTTTTACCATAATAACAGTTTTGTTATGATCCATCAGAAAAGCAGGGATTAGTAATCAGAAGAATGGGGTTCTGGCATCCTCTCTATCACATGTGAGTCCTGCTCAAGTCATAGATCTCAGTCTCATGGGAGAGAAAACGGAGGCTTGGAGCAGTTTTAAAAAGCTGCCCAGGGTCCACGCAGGATGGCCAAGGGAGAGGATTTGTATGAAAGCACAAGACAACTGCAAAGCAGGACACAAGGTCTTGACTCCTTACTAGTAATTTCAGAGGATCTGAGGTATTAATTCTACTTTGAGGGTTCCCTAGTGTTTACTGATGCTGCTTCTGCAATTCTGTTTTCATAAATAAACAGTAATGTGACAAATAAGTATAATCAACAAACTATCCAACCTATTAACTAATTTTCTGTAAATAAGTCAT